AAAGACCGAGAATCAGTTATCGTTCTTACTGACGCGACACAAATGACATTTATAGGCGTCTGTGAATGGAAAACAAGTCAAAAGAGCCCATTCGAAGAAAAACACTGGTAAATTTGCCTATCGATGTGATAGGTAAAGTGATCTGCTCCGATGTCAAATGTCCGTGACCCCACGAGATCGTCTGGACAATCGCAGCCTGGTCACTAATATCGATCAGTGGCCGTACTATTGCCGCGTGTTTGTAGCTAAGACGAAAGATGTTGCTGCTTTCAAGTTCAAGCACTTTCTTGTGAGCTTTAAGCGTGAGATCGGTTGCAGAATCTGCGTGCTTCGCATGGACGGTGATGGTACATACAAGACATAGGACACATTTTGCAGGGTAAAGCGAGTTTCGTGTCAAGTAATAGAGACCGCAAACCAACCCAGCAATGATTAGGCTGATCGTGTGCATTGTACTTTAATGAATATGGTACGAAGCATGATTTTTTCCGAGCCTACCGCTTTCTTTCTGTGGTGATGCTGCTGAGCACACGACCTACGTACCCAGCAGAATTTGAGCCAAGTCGAATACTGGTGGTGTATCCACAGTGGAGTTTCTGACGAAGAGAGTTTTCATGCTGAACGACATTGTGGTGTTCGGCTAAGCATGTACAGAATACGTCAATGAAAAAAACGAGTCACTTGCCGAGCGCTATAAGGCAGCCATTATCATTGTCAAATTCCATGAGGCAAAGATTTTAATGTGTATACTTCCCAAGGACAAGGTAGTTGTGGTGTTAAAAAATGTACGGATCATAATTGTACTATCGGACGATAAGAACGGACAGCTCAATTGACTTATTGAAAATGCTGACCGTTAAAAGCATTAATCTAATGAAAATAAAACAATTGTTCACAAACCATTAAATGCCAAGAAAGGGGTAAAAAGGGCTGTAAAGGCGAAAAGTCCGACTGGACAAGTGCATGACACGGTTTGAGGTCAACTAATAAGCAATTTGTTTAAAATCCCCGAAGTAAAGGTCTTACTGAGCAAAAAGGTATTGTAAGCGTAATTATGATGGAGGACCTAGAACACAATGGCGAGTAAGTCAAAGGTAACCACCAAGAACGATGGATGCTGATATTGCTGAAGATTTGGACACTTTGAAGTCGAAATACGTGTGGACAGTGCTGATTCCACCTAAGGGTGAGTGTAACGGGGCACTGGTCGCTTGTACTGTCACAGTACAAGTTGCTTGCATCGAACACAGAGTAAGGTGGTGCTTCGATACATCACGTACGTACACGCGTCGTGCAGAGAATGTTTTCGACACGAGATAAATGGTAAGAGCTAAACCTAATTTAGGAATAATTAACCTCCCGTCAATAAATTATACGTAGTACTTATTCGACTACATGTAAATGCATGCTTAAATTGTAATATATGCTTTGTACTCATTGCGTTCCTCTGTCGTGGAAAAGCTTTTTTGATTTCTATTGTATATCCATGTCAACCAATGAGTAGTGTATTGCTTCTGCGAAACAATAATAATTACAAATCCAATTATGTGAGGAAATTATAAAAAAAGTGCTTGGTATAATTTTGTGCAATTTTAATGCAACGAAAGCAACCTGTTACAGAGTGCGTTCTATACACAACAAGTGGGTCTCTAAGACTAAGACGGACGCTATAACAGACATCAAGCGGATCAAGGCTCGTTCATTTTTTTCCTGGAAATACACAAGTTTTCGGTGTGGATTATACGGGTATATTCGCGGCCGTCGTGGACTTGGGATCAGAAAGTTGATTCTGGTGCTTTCCAGACGATGGAACTTACCAGCACGCCTTGGTGACGTACCAGATGCATGTGAAGGCTCAAAGGAGAAGCACTCGAACATCTACATTATGGCATAAAAGGGGATAATCGCGGATAAATAGAGCCAGAAAGATTTGGAGCAAATTCATAAGCAATTTAGCACTACTGCTAAAAAAGTCACGATGTAACTTATAAAATTGGGCGTCTGTGGAGCAACTTAGTCGACTCTATGCTGCGACGAGATGAAATTCAGCAATAAACGACGGACACGTGCCTGTACTAAAAGTAAAAAGGTGGGACACGCACAGTGGTCGGTGTCTATGTGGATAATCTATGGGTCATAGGCACATAGCAAAACGCTGTAGACATTCCTTTTGATGAGATAAGCTCATTGTCAATTAAGGGCTTGTAGGACCGTACACAAGTTCCTGGAGTTGAAAACTCAACGACAGACTGAAATAGATACAATTTGGATCAACAGTTCACGATCGACCCGTTGTTAAAGAAATCTAAGTTGGAGTCAGCTAACGGAGTGCGGACTTTTATCGGGGAAAAGTGTGATTAAAATAACGAAGGCGACTTCAATCGTATATCTGCAAAATAGGTGGAAGGTGACCGAAGTGTGAATTCATTTAAGTCGCTAGTAGAAAAAATTAGAATGTATTGAAAGATGTACGTGTCCATACATTTGCTACGTAGTGCACAAAGCCACGAGACAGATGCACAAGCCGAATAGCTATGGCTGGAATACAGCCAAGCGTATTGTGAGATACCTGAAAATATTAAAGAATCCGAATTCTTTTTTGCAACTGAACGGTGTCAGGCCAACGTCAAAGGACATGCGGATCGAGTGTTGTAGTGGTGCCATTTATGCCGCCGGCAAGGCTGACAGTACGTCTGTGTCGGGATGTGTGCTAATATGGCAGCGCTGTTGTTCTATCGTTGTGCAAGAAGCAAATGGGGGTGTCGTTGAGTACGATAGAATCTGAGTTCATCTCAGCGTCGCAGGCCGGACGTGAGCTACTAGGCCCGAAGAAATTGCTTAACGAGCTAAGGATGCAGATGTTCGAGCCCAGGCCGATGTGGATCGACAATCAAGCCTGCATCAAGTAGTTTGAGTCAGATTAGAGCACTTCAAGCTCAAAGGATGTGGGGATCCCACCCTCTTTCTGTCATCATGCGCGAGAAGATATTGTCGTACCAAAAAAAACAGAATCGTGAAGTTGCAGCACATGATGGCCGATAAATGAACGAAGGCACTGCCAGCACCAATAATGACAGAGTTACAAGCAATTTTAAGTTGAAGGCCACACAGGATGACATCGAGGAGGATTGCTAAAAAGTATGTTTGACAGATTTAAAGGCCCAACAATATACCACGTAACAGCCTTATACGATTGGCCAGTGTTCAGACAAGGTGACACGTGGGTCACGATGAGGCGATCGGACAGATGGGACAGGTAGGAATAGTTCACCAACCTGACAGATGGAACAGCAAAGTGGTGACTTGACGGTCGGAGCAAAACGATACGGTTGCGACGTGGGACCGCCATAGGATATGGGAAGGAAGGACTAATGCCATCAGGCGAGTACTTGGTCAAGTCGCAGAGCAGTTCTGGTGCATGTAGTAGTATCGACAAAGGAGAATAGTAAATACTTATAATATTTTACTTTTACTTCCAAACACCTCCGCACAAGTGCGATAAGACGCATCAAGACGCATCATGAATCAACATGTACATCATTGTGCTCAGCTTTGATGACTCTTGCAGTGGGACCGCGCAAAAAGCACACCATCAATTTATCTTTTGGCGATATTTTAAAAATTAATCTAAGGTACTGATGTGGATTAATAGCCACACAATGTTGTTGCGCATTTTCGATGATCAGGCATTCTATGTTTGGGCGAAAGCGTGCACTTAGAATGCAGACATTTGTTGGTGCGACCATCTAACTGATTTCAGTCTCTACAACTATTGTAGACTATCCGTCAAAGATTGAATGGACTGCCAACAAAGCAGCATGTATCTGCTACACCGAAACCAGAACAAGTTGTACATGCTTTATCAGTGCCCTAAACCTCAATATGGCTTGACGGAAAACACATATATAAGTTTCAACACTGTTTCATTTGGTTTTATAATTCTTATTAGTTGTGTGATAAGCATTAAATTTAGAAGTTATACGCTAACCTAAAGTGAAACGATATTAGATTGATTATCGTTAAATGCACCCCACTTTTACTAAATACACCCCTTACACTAAAAATATAACAAAAGGCAAAACGGCTTGTAAGACAAAATTTGAGCCACCAAATATATTTGTGTGACCATTATCGCACAACAATCGGCAAATGTTGCACAAATGGTAAGTGGTCTACCAAGCAAACTATTTTTAGCACGCGATGGAGGACAGAAGCTAATGCAAACCAATACTTTAGACGCAGCCTAAATTACATTCCTTAAAACACGATTGTACTACGCAGCCAGACCTCTGTTTAATTGAGCTTAATCTGGATCTGCGATAGGACCGGGCCATTGCCTGTCAAAGGAAGATCGATTGGTAAAACACTCACCATTTGTACGACAAACGCCGAGTGTTGTAGTCGTACAGAAATATGGTGGCGGGATATTTTTGTCGTACAAGCCGAATTGCCTTTTGTATGGTTGTGGTCGATGGGGTATATTTAAAAAGAAGTGGAGTGTATTTTAGCATTAACCTGTATATTTAGTTACAAATTGCAACTTCGACGGGAACGGTTTGAATGTAAGGAAAGGGGTGTGAATGAACAGAAAGGGGTGTGCATGGCAGGAATGTTGAAAAAGCACTTGGGTTGTAGAAAGCAAAATGCAAAGTGAATATATTTAGGTCCTTAGTTCGCAATCTCTTTTGCTAGTCTAAGCCTACTGGATTCTTTCAACAACACAATCGTAATCGCTATGTCGCGCATTACTAATCGTGTAGTCGCGTATTAGTAATCGCTATGTCGCGCACTACTAATCGTGTAGTCGCGTATTAGTAATCGCTATGTCGCGCATTACTTATCGTGTAGTCGCGTATTAGTAATCGCTATGTCGCGCACTACTAATCGTGTAGTCGCGTATTAGTAATCGCTATGTCGCGCATTACTTATCGTGTAGTCGCGCTTTACTAATTGTCTGCACGTACATTCTTGTGGTTGCCGTTTGCATGCCGAGTCGCTTCTTAAACAACAAACCCACTCGACTCGGTAGCGACACCGACAGTGATGCCGAGTTTAGTACGGAGGATGGTAAACTGTGGCGCTGCGATTGCCTTGGTCATGATGTCAGCGAGCATATCTTGCGTCGGACCGTACTGTAGCACGACTTGATTCTTTTCGACCTTTTCTCGCACGAAGTGGTAGCGAATGTCGATGTGCTTGGTCCGCTTGTGGAACTCGGGGTTCTTGGCCAATGCAATCGCGCCTTGATTGTCTTCATACACTGTTACAGCATCATTGCCCGTAACTTCACCGAGCTCACTCATGAACGCCTTGAGCCACACTGCTTCTTGGGTCGCTTCTGACAAAGCCATGTACTCAGCTTCAGTTGACGAGAGGGCTACAGTGCGCTGCTTCTTGCTGCGCCAGCTGATGCAGCCATTGTTGAGCATGAACACATACCCGCTGGTACTTGTTCTAGTATCGATGTCTCCGGCCCTGTCGGCATCGGAATAGCCAAGCAACTTGCCATTGCCAGCGCCAATAAAATGAATACCAAGTGCAGGAGTAGCTTGCAGATACCGCAATACACGCTTGAGTGCTTGCCAGTGTGTCGGACAGGGATCGGCGGCAAACTGGCTGAGCACTCCCACTGAAGCTGCGAGGTCTGGACGCGTGCCTACCATGAGGTACATCAAGGCTCCGACGGCACTTCGGTATGGCACTCCTCGCATGGTGTAGTTGTGCTTGCATCCATCTTTGCACATGCGCTTAGTCAACTTCAGTCCGGGATCTTGCGGTGTCTTAACAGGCTTACAGTCTTGCATGCCAAACTTGGTCAGAATCGATCGCAAGAACTTAGTCTGTTTCATCGATACATAGCCTGACTTGTCATCATGCTCGACTTCCATACCAAGACAGTACTTGAGCTCACCAAGGTCGGACATCTCAAAGCGCTCGCTCAATGCACGTTTGGTGGCTGCGAGGATGTCCATGTCGTTACACGCAAGGATGAGGTCGTCAACGTAGATGACCACAAACACCATGACCTTGTCGTCACGCTTGGCGTAGACACAGTGGTCCATCTCGCATTTGGTGAAACCAATCTTGAGCATGAAGTCATCAATTGTCTGGTTCCACATGCGAGGCGATTGCTTGAGACCGTACAGTGCACGCTTCAGCTTGCACACATGATCAGGATATTTGGAGTCGACGAATCCCTCGGGTTGCTTCATGTAGATCTCTTCGTCCAAAATACCGTTGAGGAAAGCAGTCTTGACATCCATCTGATGTAGCACGAGCTGGTACTGTGCCGCGAGACTCAGGATGATCCGTATCGATGTGAACTTGGCCACTGGTGCAAACGTTTCTTCGAAGTCGACTCCATATTTTTGCAGAAAACCCTTGGCCACAAGGCGTGCCTTGTATCGCTCGACAAAACCTTCGACTGTTTCCTTCACCTTGAACACCCACTTGCTGCTGATCGCCTTGCGATCACTTGGTAACGGCACGAGTTCCCACGTGTTGTTCTTGCACAATGACTGAAACTCTGATTCGCACGCTTCTCGCCACTTTCTTGCGTCGCTGGATTCCATAGCCGATGAAAATGTCATCGGCACTTCTCCCACTGAATCCACGACGTTAGCAAAGTCTTCTTCATGTTCTTCTTCATCAATAGATGCGAGAAGTGCCGACATGGCTTCGAGTGGTGACGCAGTACCTTGCACTGACGATGTGTGCACACCACTTGTACTAGCCCCGCGTCCATAGCGTTTTTCCACTGGTGGCTCTGACAAAGCTTCTAGTGACTGTGTGCGTACACGTCTTTTCGACCCCGGTAGAAACTCGTCTGTCTGATGCTGCATATACTGCGGTTGATAACTTGAACGCCGCATTTGTTGCCATTGTGGCCGCTCATGGATCGATGCTGATTCGGGCATATGCGCATCCATGTCTTCATTGGCAACCCCGTTGTCACTGTCGTTGAAGCCTTCATCAGTGTTATGATACTCGATAGGGTCGATGCCACTTTGTTGCATGTACTTCCCGCTGTCGAACATGTCTTTCATGAATTGGGCGTCGCGACTCACTAGAATGCGACTGCTTGATATCTCTTCAAACCGGTACGCCTTTTCGTGGTCTGAGTATCCCAAGAAGCGACACAATGTCGATCGCGCACCAAGCTTCGACCTCTTCTCTTTTGGCACATGCACATATGCGTGACATCCAAAGACTTTCAGGTTTTTTAACAACGGCTTCGTCTTCGTCCATACCTCGTGCGGGGACTTTTCATGGCCAATTGCTTGCGTTGGACATCGATTGCGTAGGAACGCTGCCGTTGACACTGCTTCGACCCAGTAGCGCTTGCTTAGTCCCGCATGCTCGATCATGCATCTAGCACTCTCGACTAGAGTCCTGTTCCTTCGCTCCGCCACTCCGTTAAGTTGTGGGGTGTACGGCGGCGTAAATTGCTGTATGATGCCTTTGATGCGACACAACGCGGCGAACTTGTTGGACACACATTCTCCACCGTTATCGCTGCGGAGCATCTTGATGCGACGACCGGTCTGAGTCTCAGGAAACTTGGTGAACTGCGTGAATTTGTCTAACACTTCAGACTTGCTGTGAATTAGGTACACAGTACAAAACCGCGACTTGTCGTCGATGAACGTCACAAAAAAACGCTTGTTGGAAAATGTCGAAGTCTGCATTGGTCCACATACATCGGAATGCACGACGTCAAGCAGGTCCTTGGCTGGTGTAGGTGACTGAAAACTCACTCGCGTCTGCTTTCCGAGCGCGCATCCTTGCAAAGCTCCCACTTGCCCACAGATGTAATGTCGATGCCGACACCGAGATTCTGCTTCACGATCGCGTCGAGTCCACGATGGCCAATGTGACCAAGACGCAGATGCCACAAGTATGACTTGCTCATCTGAGGCTTGTTGGATTCACTTGCGATGCTCGCGCTCTCGACTTGCACAGGTGTCATGCATAATTTATAGAGACCTTTGCCGGCACGCTCGCCGATCTTCCACTTCTGGTTCTTGAAATTTGCACAACAGGTGCTCGTATCAAACGTCACTGTCGCGACATCCTCGGTGAATCGGCCGACTGAGAACAAATTGCGTGAAAGCTTTGGAATGTTCCACACATTCGTAAGCACACCCTTCTTGGCACCACTTGGTGTCTTCATCATCATCACTACGTTGCCGGTCCTAACCGCCTGTACCACACCGTCGTCCGCGAGATGTACGTTAACTGGGTCGAAGGTTTTGTAGTTCTTCATGAACTTCTTGGAACACGTCATGTGCTGCGTCGCACCTGAGTCAATCAGCCATGCTGGATTCTTGACGCTGTCGTCGTCGTTGCTCTCCAAACCAGCTGCAAACAGGAAATCGTTCAAGTTTTCATCTTGGTTGTGCGCCACATTCGCACGCTGCGGACGCTGCCGGTCCGCGTTGTCATGGATCCGCGAGGTACATTCCGCGATCCAATGACCCATCTTACCGCAGTAGTTGCACGCGTCAGTCTTCTTGAATGGTCGTCCACTACGCTTCTTCTCACCTGTCATGAACGCTTGACCTGCGGCGACCCCGCACTGCCTTGCTCCTTGCGCTCCATGTCTTCATGTATCAGCCTGGATCTCACCAGTTCCCACGACAGCGAGTCGGCCCTTGACTCCAAAGAAGTAATGAGAAATGCAAACGACTCACTTAAGCTTCCAAGAAGCGTGACCACCAGGTCGTCTTTGCTGACCGGAGCACCCAACGCGTCGAGTTGTTCCGCCAGTGTCTTTATCTTGTTAATGTGCGAAAGCATATCATCGCCTTCCTCCATCTTGGCCGTGAAGAAACGGCGACGAAGAAAGAGCTTGTTGGCTAATCTCTTCTTCTCAAAGTGGCCTTCCAGCCGCGACCATGCATCGTACGCTCCACTTGCCGACCGAACCAGGGGCAGTTGCGAGTCCTCCATCGCAAGACAGATTATCGCGAGCGCCTTCCGTGATTTGCGCTTGAACGTTGACTGATCAAGCGTAGTGGCAAGGTGTTTCAGCTTGATCTCCCCGCTTATCACTTCCCAAAGGTCCCGCTCCTCCAGCACCATCTGCATTTTGAACTTCCAAGTGTGGAAATTCGTACCATCAAACTTGTTGATGCGAGCGTTGGTGGCGATGGCAGCGTCCATGTTGAAGGCAAAGTCGGCGTCGGGGGCAGAGTCAGCAGAGCTTGGGCTCATAACCTGTCGAAAAAGCACTTGGGTTGTAGAAAGCAAAATGCAAAGTGAATATATTTAGGTCCTTAGTTCGCAATCTCTTTTGCTAGTCTAAGCCTACTGGATTCTTTAAACAACACAATCGTAATCGCTATGTCGCGCATTACTAATCGTGTAGTCGCGTATTAGTAATCGCTATGTCGCGCATTATTAATCGCTACGTCGCGCATTACTAATTGTCTGCACGTACATTCTTGTGGTTGCCGTTTGCATGCCGAGTCGCTTCTTTTACAACAAGGAATGGGGTATGAATATTTCAATACCCAATAAATATGACTTAATTTTATAAGTTTTGAAAGAGTGTACTATTCGATGCAACGGTGGGGCCTAGTTAGAGGTTTTCTTCAATGCATTAGCTTGGATCCTTTGCATCAGTATGCAATGTGAAGAAACCGATTACACAATATGCATGGACGACGCTGAGGTTGCATCAGCATTAATGGTCGATACACTTACTGGAAAAATATCGTTTGCTGCTTCTGTAGTTATCCACAAGCCAGCGTCATCCCTCGTCCTCGCTGAGCCCTCGTCCAGACTTACAATCTCGACCTTTTCAACCCGTCACAAAGAACGGTAACAGACGTGAGATATCTACACCAACAATTAAGGTATGGCTTACGGCGCCTCTTCTCGAGCCTTTCGGTCAAGCAAACCTTGTTTGTGTGGGTGCGATGACCTGGTTAAGTCGAGCGCATAGCTTCCGCCGCTGCTGATGCAATTAATCGCAGTGGCTGGCAAGCTGCATCCCAAAAAAACAGATACAGAAAATAACTTGTGTTGTCGGTATCGTAACATGATGCATTGAATCAACATGACCTCAACTGCACCAGCGTTTTTTTTTGTCGTCCTTTTGTGGTAGGGATTGTAATAACTTGATAAATGCGTAACGCATGACATAATCAGCATACTTCTCTCTTTAGCCAGCGATTGATATAATCAATCAATTAGTCACCACCACCGCTAGTCAAAGATTACGAGTGCAAGTACGTACATTCGTTTGAACGGGGACCATTTGATCGCTAAAATGAAGTCGATTTAGGCCTGACAGTGTTATGTGTTAGTCTTCGCGTGATAATAAGGGTTCCAGATGAACCCACCAAGTTTTTATTTGCAGGCTCTCATTGCTTGCGTATACATCATGTGGTATCGTTTCTAATCGGACGATGAGAAGATAGATTTGGTGTGATGGACGTGTAGTAGTGGTGCAGAGGATGGGGCTGGATAAACAGCTTGGAGCACGCGGTAGAACCTAATTCTTACAATTGGCCACTGCCTTTTGTAAAATTTCGGCCACAAGTCAGCGTGACCGTCACAATTTGTAAATCTGTGAGAATAAAAAACCGAAACGCTAAAATTTCACCGCAATGAATCCCAGCAGTGGTCTCGAAAGCGAGGAGCTACACCTCCGCCAGAGCATCCTGTACACCGTGGGTCGCATTTGTGACGATGAAGGTCTTTATTCACTCCTTTGGATATCATTACGCTAGGATTGCGCTCGTTTCCACTCACTCAACACACAATGAACTTGCAGCAAAGAAGAAACCACACGAGCACCACACACGTATCAAACCTGCGATGTCCAAAGAAGCCATGGCGTTGCTTGCCGACGTCGTCTATAAGCAAGCTGAAGGTTGAGTTGTAAACAACTTTATGGCTGACTATATTACACAAGCTAAGGTTTGTCTGCAGTGATGGCGACAGAGCTGCAGTTTTTCGCGCGTCATGCCAATCGGAAGGTTATCAAACCGGAGGACGTCCTACTGTGTGCCAGGAAACAGTCCAATCTGGTACCTTTTTTTGTGCCGACAAGTGCACAAATACTTTCTTGGCAATGCGTCTAAACCACTGACCTGATTTGTGTACCACTGGACATTCCTGTAGACCAATTTACTACACAAGTACCAGCGCGAACATCTAAACACCAGTTCCGCGACGTCAGCAGGCCCGAAGAAAAGACGTGGACATGTTGTAGGCTCAGACTAGTCTGACTGGTCGACTATCTACGTACATGGTTTAGGTTCGTTTTATCACTTTGTGGGTCATAAGACGCTCTGATTCATAATCTGTGCAAACAACACAAGATACCGACGTTCCTCCTGTACTCTCTTTCGAGCTGTCAGTACTCATTCAATTCTCCCCCAGGAATGCTATATTGCGTCGAAATTCGCTAGACTGATCGCGGCGTAAAATCAAGGATTGACTAGATCTTGCTTTGACTTGTGCATGATTGAGTTGTGTTCGAACTCGTGCGCCAACAGTTTATGACAGCGACGCTTGCGAATTATTGCCCCGGCCATTCGTATGCAAGGTCTCCTCGTCAATAATTGATCGCTCTGTTCGGCCTCGAGTGCCTATCTCGGCTGATTCTTACCATGGCATGCTAACCTCATCCTGATATGGCCTGATGTTGTGCAGACCATGCATAATGAACATGAAGTAATACCATTGGCCGGCTTGGCTGTAACAAGCAGTGAAAGACGAACTTACCTGCAATGGGCAATACGCGCGCTGTCTTACAAAACAATTAATAGTTATTGCCGGTGGTGAGGTGCGTGATCCAGGATAGATGCCGCTCTCTACCAATGTTGGGTTGATTGAACGCTGGTGGTGGCTGCACACACCTCACGCAACTCAACATGAATCAATATGACTCGCTGAATCGGACAAGTACAAAATAGCAAGATCACATCCATCTTCAAGTACGTACTGTTTTCCGATGTCGTTGCTTCAGCGACTACTGAGTCGTTTTTCTCGTACGTCCAGCGTGCCCATTCGGTCCGCAACTTTTTGTTACATCTGTCGGTTCGTTTTCTGGGTGCTGCGGTTTCGCGTTTGAAACGAAGACCATAGTAAAGATCACGACGTCGACCAATGAGGCATGATCGTTTCTTGTACCCACCGCACTTTTCTACTATCACCGTCGTTTGCTGCATGAAAACCGTTGAGTTGGTACACACGCAAGCGTTTGAATAAAGGCGGCGGCAATATGCTTCACTCATCAGAAAACGGCTACTGTACTAGACACTGGTAACGGAAATCACACAAAGCGTTTCTTGCGTGGCCCTGTAGATCCTCTTACGTCGCACAAAAACGGCAGCAATGCACCTAGTTCTCGCCGTCATCAAAATGATTGCCATTCAATTGGTCATCAGATCGAGGAGGTGGCAATATAGCTGTGCCCGCTTCGCAGACTTTAGCTACAGAAATCGAATTGAGCATAGCTGCATCCTATCCGTGAGAATGAATCCTCCACCGATAGCTTACTGCGTCTGGATACTGTCGTACTGAGCAAAAAACTGATGCCGTCAGTAGCCAGGTACTCTCATTGTGAAGGTACAGCATATTGTAGCTAGCCGACAAGCAATATGCTGTCAAGATCATGCAGGGCCTTGCCGTGTAACCAAAAAGTGTCATACTGCTTACCTAAAGGCTAAAGCTCCATCCTTATGATGGCCAAAGACGCCAGCAAATCATTTGCTTATGGCGAAACCGTGTATGTAACTCCTCCGATAGCAATCTCAATCTTCCGTCTTGGCGAGTCTGGTGTAGCCTGTTTAATGAATATGATAGCAGCTCTGAGTTCGCAGAGCACCTGCACATTGCGCTATATCATAAAATGTGCTAGTGTGAACGAGTCGGACGAAGGGTACAACAAAGCAAAGAATCAATGACCGTTCACCACAATAGAGCTTTCGAGAGTATGCCATGATGATTATCTTGACGAGGTACATAGCCGCAAAGCTTCACTTCTGGCTTGAAAGCTTATTCGGTTGATGTACGCTCGTCAGTAGTAATTACTGTCGCATTGATATCGACTAAGGCTGTAACATAGCTGACTTTCTTCCTTTGCACGAGTTACGATCGAGCAGTGCAAATAGGTTGCTAGATATCTCCAGCCGGACCGTCAAACCCCGCAGAGAAGCCATTGGATGAGGATTTGTTTCCTTCATTATATGGCACGCTGGGCTACAAGATGCATCAGCAACCTGGCAAGAACGTCAATAATCATTCAGATTGTTGCCACGTTGGGATTTACTCATAATATTATAGTACGCAACATGGACGTCTTGCCCGAGACGCGGCTAGGACAGCATCAGCGGGAGCGCAACAAAGATGGGTGCGTCACAGGAGACTTCCCAGCAAACATGTCTCGAAAAAAGGTTAAAAGCTTGAGTAGTACAATTTAAGCAAAAGCCGCGTGAGAGCTTCTGGGCATTCATGTGAGTGCCTCAGGTAAGATGCAAAGTTTATTTCGTGCACAGACGCATCGTCTGGAACTGTACAAGAAGCGATTGAGTACCTTGAATTCGATTCTCTTGTGATAACTGAACGTAGGGAAGAAAGCACCGAAAAGTCAAACTAAGCACAGCGTAGCGTGCAATTTACCGGTGCGGTAACTAAGAATTGGGTTGAATGTTACTGAATAGCGACCTTTATCGTCAGTGTAGTGATTTCTGATGCAGGAGCTAAATACGCAATCGTACACTGAGTGCACACTGTGGCGAAGAAAGTTTGGGGCTAACACGCATGAATTCCGAACAGCGGGTTTCACCTGATTATTCGTCCGATTTTTATGTCAGCCTCGTAGTTAAGCAGTTTGTGTCGATCAGCTCTCTCATTCCTTGTAATCACATTTAACAAACGTTGAATGAGTACGAGGCAATCATAGTCCCCTCGCCCGTTAAAAATCGTGCTACCACTAACGTATGCATGACCGCTACCGCCTTGACTAATAAACGTGCCTCATTCTTTGTACGACCGTAAGAGTGACTTGCGCAGGGTGCTTGGAAGACAACGAAAGCTAAGTGAAAAACATTATTTTCGCACATGTGTGCTATACGTACTATCCCTTAATGAGAGCCTTCGCCTGAAGACCCTTCTGAAAAGCCTTGACCACGCGTATCTGTGCACGAAGCCGAGCAAAGCCGCGCACCCAAAGGGCCTGACCATTGCCTGATCGGATCTCGCGCACCTCTGCCGTATCCACCTCACGGCAAACTGCCATCCAGTTCGGCGCATTTTTCATATCGATCAAGCGCAGCAAAAGCCCAAGCGGCAGCGACACGAAGCCCATACCGATGCAGGCGATCCACTGGTTCAAGCTGAGCGGCTTGCACTTGAACCAGTCACCAGTGTGCTGAACCATCACGTACTGCAACACGACTTGGAGCACACCCACGTAGATAAACACACGGTTTTTCGTGATGCCCGTAAAGATGTTAATCTCGTCGTGGATCTTGCGCGCATTTAGCTCATTAAACAGCTGCGCCCACACAAAAGTGTTGAACACAATCGTCATGTGAACGCTGGGATCGTCTTTCACGTCCTTGGGAAGATCATTAGTACGACCCGACGGGATGTTGAACCACTTCTCACCCGAAAACACAATCGCCAGCAACAGAGCAAGCTGGTAAATCGATTGGCCTAGAATATGCTTGGTCATCTTCTTCGAAATCAGCGGCTCAGTCTTCGGGTAAGGCTTACGCTCGAGCAATTGCGGAGTCGGCTCCTCAGTTGCAAGAGCCAGCGACGCGAACGAATCCATGATCAGATTTACCCACAACATCTGGACGGCCGAAAGCGGAGACTGCTCCAGCACAACCGCGCCAATGAACGCCAAAGAAATAGCAACCACATTCACCGTCAGCTGAAACTGCAGAAACTTCGCGATCGAGTCGTACACGTTGCGGCCCCATTTGATCGCATTCACGATCGAGTTGAAGTTGTCATCCATCAAGATAATGTCCGAAGCGTCCTTTGCAACGGCCGTGCCACTGATACCCATGGCAAAACCAACGTTTGCTTTCTTCAAAGCAGGAGCATCATTCGTGCCATCGCCAGTCACAGCAACCACCTGAGGACCGTGCGGTACGACGTTACTCTGCATTAATCCAGACACAAGCGTGTACTTGTCCTTCGGCGACGAACGGGCAAGCACGCGCAGCATGGGCCAGATCTTGTCAAACTCTGATTGAATGATGTTACCCTGCGCATCCAGCACTCGGGTGCGGAACGTCAGACCGTCCATAATCAATGAGCCATCGCCCGGCGTTGTGATACCGCACTTGCTGGCAATCGACCTCGCAGTCGTAATGTTGTCGCCTGTCACCATGCGAACCGTGATTCCAGCGGTGCTGCACATCTTGATAGCATCAGGCACCTCCGGACGAACCGGATCTTCAATGCCCACGATCGCCACACATGTCAAATTCTTCTCCAAATCCTCGTCAGACCAGTCATTCGTTTCCTCAGCAGGTACATCCAGGTCACGGTAGGCCAGACACAGCGTACGATAGGCTTGTGTTGCATACTTTTCAATCACCTCCTCACCAATTTTCGCCTTGCGATCCTCGTCAAGAAGCTCAATTGAACCATCCACGGCTTGCATGTCCTGGCATAGACCTAGCACCACCTCTGTGGCACCCTTTGTGTACACGCGAGAAGTCGTCGCAGTGCGACGTACCACCACCGACATTCGCTTCTTGGCGCTGCTGAACGTCAACATGTGCACAACCTCGTTGTTCGCACGAATGTCTGGATACTCCATACCACCGTCACGGATGTACTGCAGTAGCGCGCACTCTGTTTTATTGCCAGTATGCTCGGGCTGACCATTTTCCACCTTAGACGGCAGAATCTCAGCAGTCGAGTTCACAGCGATGCCCGTGCAGAAAGCCTCCCTCGTCGTATCCGACAACGCACCAACACCCGCCAAAGCAGACGAGAACTCTTGACCCCCGATCCACAATTGCATCACAGTCATGCGGTTCGTCGTCAGTGTACCCGTCTTGTCAGAGCAAACAGTTGTAGCGCTGCCCATTGTTTCACAAGCGTCCAAGTGACGCACCAGGTTGTTGTCGGCCAGCATTTTCTTGACAGAGTAGGCTAGAGCAATGGTCACTGCGAGTGGGAGACCTTCGGGAATCGCCACCACCAGCACAGTAATAGCAATGATGAAAAAGTTCAAGTAATCGCTGATGTAGCTACCTTTCCATGGCATACTGTCGGTGATGAACGTGTCGATCGAGAAACGGATCGACATGATGACGAATACCAATAACGCCACAACTGTGCCCAGCTTCCCAATAAGCACAGTCAAGCTGTACAACTTGCCCTCCAAAGGAGATTGGCTCTCCTCTTCTTCTTCGCTGTCCCTCTTTTCCTCGACCTCGATAGAAGCCCCTTCTTTTGGAGTCTCAATCTCAATATAGGCTTGACCGTCGGCGTCCGGGTTCTTCTTGTTCTTGTTCTTGGGATCGGCCTTACTGTCGCTTCCTCCAGCAGCAGCCCCGCTACGGTTACCGTTGATCAGGCTCTTGATGATACCAGCTTGCGAGTTCTCACCCACACAAACAACCAACATCTTGCCAACGCCCTCCATGACCTTCGTACCGGAGAGCAAAAACGGGTTCTCAGCGGTTTTCGACAAAAGATCCGACTCGCCCGTCATGGCGCTTTCATCCATCTTGATTTCCTTCTGATCAAAGACGATACCGTCGGCTGGGATAATGTCACCCAAATCAACACGGACAATGTCCCCGACCACGAGGCCCCACTTGCTGACTTCAGCTGGCTGGCCGTTGCGGATGACCTTAATCTTCTCATCCTCCTTAATAGCATTAAGCTCCCGGAACTGCGATTCTTTCTGATAGTCGTTCACGGCCGTGACTAATGTCACCACGACCACTGCAAAGATAATACAGGCGCCTTCTACCCACCCTGTCTCAGGGTGGTCACCCACTGTCGACGACAAAATGATCGAGATAAATCCCGAGATGGTCAGCACAATAATGGTAATGTCTTGGTAGGCATCCCACATGAGCTCCAAAAAGCTCTTCGACTTGGCTGGAGGCACGTAATTCTTGCCGAAAGACTCCTCACGCTTCGTGAGATCGTCTTCATTGTTCGAGTCCAAGCCCTGGCGTAGGTCTACTTTAAGCGAGGCAGCAATGCCCTCCAAACCGCCCATGCGAGTGAGCACGTCCTGCTGCTTCTCATGAGGCGTCTCGATCAGACGGATGAGGTCCCCCGTTACGACCTTGAATGACGTCATGGCTGTCCTGGTTTCACTCCACTTCAGTATGCGAAAGACGGATAATCACAAAGCTTCCGACCAGAACCGAGGCGTGCAAAAAACCGTTTGCGAATGAGCCACTTGACTCTGCCGTGGCCAATTCCGAAATGACTCAAAAAAGAGATGAAAGCAGTTTGTTGTTGTGGACAGGTTGGTGTGCAGTTCGTGTGGCGTGCGAATTGGGAGCCAGTAAAGCCCGGACAGACGGTTTTTGGTCCCGCAGATATAACAACATCAACGTGGCGGAGAGGAATACGATCGTACGTGCGTACGCACTCTCTCTAGTTTAACCGGTGCGCAGAAACGAACTGAAACGAATCGCAACGACGACGTCTCGGCTTGCTTGTCAGCGAGTCCGAGTGACTTTCTACGTACTTTGTATCACATACTTTCTTTCTTTCACGATAATTGAACCCCAGAGCAAAACATCAGTCATTAGTTTGGTTTAAGTCGTTCACAATCGCCGATCGATGGATTTTCTGAGTGGAACATTAAAAAACCAATGCGCAGAGGTTTTGTGGACTGGGACGTGACGTGAGTTACTACTACTGTCTCGTGGGGCCCAGTAACGCTGCAAAGCTCGTTAAAACACAGGATGTGCGCGGCCAGCCATCTCGGAATGGCGTGACTGCTGCCATGTGTGTGCCCTCACGTTTCCATTTTCTGCGTTATGTCATTACATCGGGATACTGGTAGGGAAGGCAGACTTTGTTATCTTGTGGAAGATCTCCTTGGTCCGATCTAGTCTGCACAAACCGTTGTAAATGAAAACGGGGTCGGTTATTATGCGTACACTGCATGTTCAATTTCGTACGGGCTCTTGAAGGTCTCTTTACGGAGGCCGTTTCAAGGGACATCAACCGCGCGAAATGCAGCCAGTCACTGGCGCCACATAGCCATGCTCCAGCCTCTGGGTCGAGCCGGCTGAAAAATCCATCAAGGATCAGACGTAAAGTGGAGCATGTGGTGTCTCGAACAGTGATTTACACAAATGCTTTTACATTGGCAGAGATGCGCCAATGCATGTACGAGGAGCAGCTCGTGAGATTTGACGCCTGCCAGCAAACCGACGGCGATCTTCGTGTCGGAATTGTAGCTGCCGATTAGAAAGGACTTGTACGTTTTATGAAGTAACGGGCCACAGTAGCTTGTACACGAACGGTACGTTACACATTTCTCGTACTCCAGTGTTATTGCACTGCACTGCCGCGCAAATTCCCGTCTTCGTACTTCGAAGTACCATGTGCATTGGACAGTAAACAAATTTTCGACATGAATAGCGTTCACTCGCGAATGTCACAGCGGATGTGCGTGCTTGCGCTGGCTTCTCATCGCGGGAATATACACGAAACCTGCAGTGCGCTGGAGCTTTGCAAATGGGTCAGAGTCCGACCAGGTGAGACGAATGACGCGACACGAGATCGGCGGGCTACAGGCCTTTTTCAACAGATGCCTCCTTTTTTCTGTAACGTGTACCAGTGTGACGTCGAGCGGGCATCATTACACGCTAAGCAGTTCATGCAGTGGAGTCTGCACACCGCCTCTAGCACGAGAATTGCTGTCGCTGCGCTGTCAGACAAGCCAAACCGCAGTTGATGTGCTCTGATCGATGTCGCGCTTCGGGGGGGAGGGGATGTAAACTGGTGCAGGCCTGATGACAAGGGGGTCGTCCTGCGCTTTTTATGGCATTTTGAACAATAAAATGACGATAAATGTAATCGAGTCGAGAGCCAATACAGTAGGTCCTCGACACGATCCGTTTCACAGAATGGTGCGTGTGCGCTGATATTAGTCATGAGCATTTCATAGGTCGGCGCGACCCCCGATAAGTGTCGCTATTCCCCTGTTCACGCTGTTCAGGCAACATCACATCCGAGACGCACTAAAGTAAAATGACACGAATCACCTACCGCCATCGATATTGACGTCATCGTACAGTTTCTCCTTTCTGCATATATTTTGAGCTCAGCATTACGTGCGATGTTGCACACAATGACACATTTCAAATTTCCGGTACGACCACTTGTGAACTTTGAGCTTGGTGTCACTATCAAAATCATTTGCAATTTCACGTGGAAATGCTTGCAGTGGCTCCAGTCCAGCCTAGCACTTCGTACGAATTTGGTGATGATGGTCGTACCCGCTTGCGACAATTACAAGGAACGCGAAAGGCGAAGGGCGGTCGATTCTTAGCAAAATGTTGACAGCTGCCGATGAGATAGTGCAAAGGTATGTTGAAGTAGCGTTTCGAAAGTGGGTATACTTTTTGTGTGTGTCGCGCCGCTAAGCCTGCTGATATGTCTACTCTGCTAAGATTTAGCTCATTTACACTTTGAGTTTCTGTGTGTGTGGTCAGACTATGAAGTACGTGAACGCTGTTAACCTTTTACAACTGGTGTCAAAGGACCTACAGACGATGTGAGTTTCTGAAACATGATCGACAGTACCTGGACCCATTTCAGACAAGATCCCGCTCCCTTCAAGGTCAAGTGACAATCGTCTACAACAATAGCCAATTGTCGCTAAGGAATACTAGCATGCAGCGTTGTACATCGTGCGACATCAGCCCCTTCGTCTTACTTGTAGTGCCAGCTGTGGCGCTGCTGCCCATTATACCGTTTGCCATAGAATTTATAATAAGTAGAACTCTGCTAAACGTTCGCTGCCAATAGCAGCTATGAGTCAAGTGATCATGCATTTTATAAGATAACTTTCTGAATCAGAATGGATTCGTCGGTACCACACTTGCGAAGCCGTCCGATCAATATTAGCGACAACGTGAATACGCTTAAGCATATGAAAAGGGAATGGTGCCTTCTTGTCGGGTTCATTTTACCGTTTTTGTGCAGCTGCAAACTCTTCGCCCGCTTGGTGATCCAGTCGAATTTTAGCGGCAGCCACCATAACACGCTATCATTCAACTACAGCTCGTCAGCAGTTCTACAGATACTGGGACGCATCCTTATCGTCAATACCACTATTCTCCTCCAGTATAAGGATCACCTGCGCGAGTTGAAAAAGGTGGTACGTTAGTTGAGCGAGCATGTTGTTGCAGTCTGCAGTGTACTAGCCCTGTTTGCCCTTCTTCGAACGCTTTGGACGTAATCATGGACTGGGGATGTTATTTGGCGTCTCCTGACGCAAGAAATTATAGCTGTAACTCGTTTGCACACTGCGATATGTAATACCAGAGGCGACTCTTCATCGTACTCATCTTCACTGAGGGTATCGCGATGAACGCGCTTAAACCAAAAATAATCTCGGAGAGGGTGGTTCTGCACCGAAACGGCTCGCAGCCACAACGTCGCTGCTATCCTCTTCCTTCTACATGCGCTCTCTTTGTGCGATATAGCTACTATGTGACTTGAAGCAGAGCTCAATACAGTTTATCCCGTCAAGTATCCGAGTAAACACGATATCATGCATTTTGTTGCAAGTATGTGTGCCGGCATGGCTCGAAAGACTATCATACTGCGATATATCATCCATGCTAGAGTTGAATGAGAGCAGAAATTGACCACGGCAAATTCGTGTGTTGTCCGTCTGTATTGAAATACGTCCGGCATCGACGTAGAAACATCGGTCAATTGTAACGCATCGAATCGGCATTTATGGACACCGTGTATCGCCAACAGCGTACATCTGCATCCAAGTGCTGGTATTTATGAGCACGAAGAAGCTGAGAGGCAGGTAAGAACGATTCAGTGAGCAATTGAGCATCATTAAAGGTTCTTGGCCTTCAGGCTTACGTACTCGACACTTTGGCGATATTCATCGTTTAATCCCATGACAGAGTATACGATCTGAATTCTCCAGCGGTATGAAAGCCATTCGAATCCCAGTATGCTCAGATTATGCTGCTCGACTCTCCCCAGCTTGACACTCCGCATGCGCGCACGGCCGTTTGGCTCCTTGTCACAGCAACTTTTGAAGGCGATAAGTTTATGATTGTCAAAAACAAATTTCTTGGCTCGGGTCAAATGTAAGTCTACAATTGATGCACTGGCATGCAAACGAGCTTCTGAGACAAACGACGTGCTCCTGCAAAGCATTGCGAGCCCGAAGGGGGAAACCGTAAGTGAGTGTGCCCAAGGTTGCATGCCGAGCTTCTAAATCGTACTTATCTGTGTCAATCGGTCTGTGTGCCTGTCAGTGTCTGTAACTAACGCGATTAGGTGTACCCCGCACGTGCTAAGTACGATTCAGCCTGAACCCCCTTAATAGGTATACAGGCATTTCCGAACGAATTAGATTACTTGTATCAAAGGGCGAACTCCAGAGCACGATCCCCTATCGCATCCGGATTTGATAGAGCGGGGAAAAAGAAAGCTATGAATAAGCATTAGAGGTATATTGAAAGGCATGATAAGATGAGCCTTCATTTCTGCTCATGGTCTTTACCTCCCTAGATTGGATCATGTCCAATTTTTTGATTAGATTCTAAGTATGCGTTTTAGGGACCTCACCAAATATGCGCTATTTTACTTCATCATACACACTATCAAATATTACCATGTTAAATTTATTGGCCTCATTCGATTGTCATTATAGCCATTTGACTCTGTAGGTGACAATGATGCCGTGCGAGCTGTAAGATGGCATCTTTTGTGGCAACCATCAAGCGGTAGGTAGCCGAATGAAAGGGAACAGAAGGTCAACCTGAAGTGATTATCACAATGTTCAACGACCTCGTGCCGTCGTGCCTGGTACAGCTAGATTATGTGCTCGATGTACCATTAATTAGATCGCTAGTTGGAAGTGATTAGTCGACGAGCCAGCTTTATCAATCTCTATAACACATGGTTTGCTTATAATGGTAAATGCATCATCAATAGTCGACGTTATCGGACAATCAGATCACATCCTTAGGTTTTAGGCTTGCTGGGTATCAAATCGTGATGTCGATGTAGAAAGGAGCATGGTCAACTTAGACAAATTTTCATTAGTCGTCGCCACGTACAAAGTGAGACTCTCTAAGC